TCCCTGAGAACGTTGTCCAAATACTCCTTGGAAGTGCTCTCCTGCCACACCAGGACCACGCTCCAGAGATGCAGACAAACAGCACAGAGGAGATAAACACAACTAAGGAGACAAAAATTGTGGCCAAAATGTGGTTTTTTTACCATGGCTTGCAGCAACTGGGACCTCCCCCAGTGCACAACTTTTGTTGGAGGAGTATCAGGGAAACTCCCCACTGCCAGGCTTGGGAGTTTGAAAACTCTCAAAAAAACAGTAAAAAAAGAAGAAATGCAAGGATAAATGTGCTTATTCCTTGGGATAAAACACTTGTGGTTTCCCATTCTGGCTGCAGGGCCAGGTGCTGTCCCATGGGGTTGGGCTCCAGCCAGCCCCAGACCCCCTCCCAGGGGAATCTGTGAGGGCCCATCAGCCACTGTTTTAATTTGGCCTCGAGTCCCATATGTCTTACAAAACCCTCTTAAAAAAACTTCCATAAATGCTTTTATTCTGAGGATGTTCTGCCTTGAATGCATCAGATTCATCTCCTCACTATAAATGACCCTTTTATAGCACCAGACTGAGCAGCTGAAGGGAAGCAGAGTTGTTTTCTCCCTGCTATCACAATCAAGTTGTTTGGTATAAAATGTGGCTTGGAAGTGAATCCATAATGTTCCTGGCAATTCAAGGGAACTGCTATTACCAGGAGTAAAATGCAGGTAGTAACTCTGTGGGTTTTCCTCCACTGAAACTGTAATTAATGTGGATCCTGTGCACTAAGTGCACGGAGAAATACAGACTTCACAGGGGTGAAAATGCATCTCATTAGCAGTGAAAACTCCTGTATCGTCCAAATGCATTGTGTTCAGCGAGGAAAAACTGTGTAATTGAATTCCCACCAAAGCACAGTTCATCTGCATCAAACAGCATTGTGCTCATCCTGGAGCTCCTCTGAGCTGCTGCTGGAAATGAGGATTAATTAGGATACCTGCTCGTTGCTGAGGGAGCAGGTAAACACACTGTGGTCAGGCCAGGGGCTGCAGTGAGAGGCTCTGGCCAAACCTCAGCCAGGCACGGAAGGGAGGCTCCAAAGGTTTGGATGTTCTTGCAGTGAGGACGCATCAAACAGTCAAAATTTTCTTGTCAATGCAGCAAATGCTGGTAAAAAAACCCCAACAAGTCAAACAAAAGCACCTCTTTGCTGCATAAATACTTCAGTAATAATTAATAAGTGGTTTATGAAGCTGGTTTTGAATTATTCTAGGCTGGACTAGCACAAGTGGAAGGATCTGTATGAATCATTTCATGTCCTGCACCTCCCAGCAATGCTGTGAGAGGGGCAAACACAGCAGGTAATGAACCCTCTGGAGCACAACATTCAGGAGGAACCCACTGATCTGCAGCATTTTAATGGGTAAATTATTATTAATTTAAATAAATACATGAAAAATTTCCAAAGGCAGCACAGGGGAGAGACTGGGAGGGGATGTGAGATGTGTAGCCAGAGCAGCAGGGAGGCTTTGGAGTGTCTGTGCTTTCACTCAACAACCTTTCAGCCAGATCTGAGTGGATCTAATCCATCTTTTTCCTACAGCATCTCCCATCCATGAGACTCAGCACTGGGGTGTGTAAGGGCAGCAAGAGCTCATAAAAAGCATTTTATATCATCATCATCATCATCATCATCATCATCATCATCATCATCATCATCATCATCATCATGTTTTTCCCCTTTTTTTTCCACAGCCACGTGTACACGTGAGCCCTGACACATGGGTCTCCTGCATCTCACCAGCACAGAAAACCAGCCTTTGAATCCAAAATCCAGAGTTATCCTGGGGCAGGAGCATTTGGGGGCAAAGCAGCACATGAGGAGGGAGCTCACCCCGTCCACTGTTGGGGTGCTGGGATGATCTTCCTCCACATTCTCCCCAGATCCTGACTCCTGTGGTCCCCCACAGTGCAAGTGAGAACAGATCAGCCCCCTTGGGACCTCACTTTGGGTTTTAGAGGGGGCTGTGGGAGCAATCCATCCTCATCCTCAACCTTTGCAAAACCAGGGGCTGCTGTGATATCATTTTAGGCCCCCACTTGCGGGAATTTTACTTCCTGGAGGCCTGAGGGATGCTGAGCTCTGGCTCACTCCAGCTCCCCAGACACGGCCCCACCTCCCCCAGGCTCTCGCTGTGCTCACCAGCCTTGGCTCTGCTGCAGCCAGACACATCCCATTACTTCTGTTCTGCAAATCCCATTACTCAGATCTAACGAGGAAATAATTTTAATTAAGGAAATTAAAAATTTATTTGCATCTGAATTTTAAGTAGGTGTTAATTTGAAGGCATGAAAAAAGAGCCCTCCGGCCGTGTCAGGATCCGTTCGTGCCAGAAGGAGCAGGGGATGGGGATGGGGGGGCTGGAGGAGGAGAAGAGCCCACTCCATCTCCTGCACCAGAGGAAGTTTAGACTGGAGATCAGGGAAAATTTCTTCATGGAAAGGGCTGTCAAGCACTGGCACAGGCTGCCCAGGGCAGCAGTGGAGTCACCATCCCTGGAGGGATTTAAAAGCCCTGTGGATGTAGCACTTGGGGGCATGGTTTAGTGTTGGGCTTGGCAGTGCTGGTGGAACAGCCAGACTTGTTGATCTTAGAAGGCTTTTCCAACCTTAATGATTCTATAAGTCTGTGAAAAGCAGCAAAAAAGGTGTTGGAAAATCCTTCAGAGAAGCTCTGAAGCCATAAAGCTGCAAGGAGGGATGAGCACATTCTCAAGATGGCCGAGGGCTGCAGTGGCCTCTTGTGCCCCCTGCATGGGCAGCCCTGGAGGGCTGAAGAGCCCCTGCAGATCCCAGGTCCTGGTTCCACTCCCTCCTTTGACTGCTGCTGGTCTCCAGCACCACAAGACTCCACCACCAGTGTCCCAGGGCTTCCACAGGTGGCACCAACCCAGGGGCACCTCCACTAAATAATGTGCCACAGGGGGTGGCTTTTGGCCAAGAGGAAGGAAATGCTTCTCATTTCTTCTCCTTGCAGTGAAGACAGCCCAGGGAACACTGCAATGCAAGGCTCAGTTTAATGCATCTGGATAACAGTCCTGTTGAAAACAGCAGCTAATTAGTTAAGTAATACCCTGGGTTATTAATGCTGCAGCTCTGCCATCATCAGTCTATTTGTAATAATAGTGTTCCCACTGTAATAGCATTAATCATCATGGATTTATTACGAAATGAAGGGGGAAGGGATATTATCTCCCTCAGGAACACCACTTGATAGCAGCCCTACTTACTGTGAGGATTTTATTGGTTTAATTCTTAATGCCTTGCTCATTAATCTGCTTTCCAACAGCCCCTCACAAACACCCCTCTGCGAGCAGAAAACACAAGATGGTGAAGGTAACCTCTCTTCTGCCAAGCAAAGCCAAGTGAGGGGGGCTTCAGGCAGAGCCGTGCCAGGCAACCCCATCATGTCCTGGCAGAGACTCAGCACAGCCAGCACTTTTCTCATGGTGTGTGAGGGCAGGAGCACAGTACTGCCCTGCCTTGCTGGGCAATGACCACTTCTGGGCAACATCCACTTCTCTGGCCACTTTACTCATTTTCAGTTCCATCCTCAAAAGACTCTTTTGGCTTTTCCAGGGCAACAGGGAATATTCACCATATCATTCCAACAAATTTTACCAAGCCCAGAAAGGCTTCATTGAAACTTCTTTTCCCATTAACCCTTCTCCTCTCAGCAGGATTCTGGTTCAGGACACTCACACCAAACCAGGCTGTAGAACTAGGGCAGCTTGTCCAAGCCAGGGGATCCAGTGAGAGACCCCCCGGGGCCTGTGCTCAGCTCAGGGATGCCCAGCCCAGCCACAGAGCTCAGCTGTGCTGGTGAAAAACCACCCACACACCCCCAAAAACCTCGTCGGACACGCTCATGTCCCCCAGCCACTCCCCAACACAGCCTGTGCTGCCCCCCCAAGTGGGGGACATGGGCCCGTGCCCGCTGCCAGCAGCAGGAATCCGGGCAGAGCAAGGATCCCTCGCCAGGCTTTGGGCTCTTCCACGGCCCAGGGCAATGCCATGGGGATGGGAAACAAAGCCCAGAGTGCTTGGAGCTTCAAAGCCTTAAACATCAGCCCCTCCAGCTCCAAAACTTTCTCCCCACATCCTGCCTCCAGCCATTCCCAAGGCTGCCATGGCCTTCGGGGCATCCCTTGGCATTTGGCCTCCCTGGGGCCTGATCCCGGCTCTCGCCCCACCAGTCCCTTTGGCTGCAGCAGGAAGGGCAGCAGGAGCTTTCCTGCCTGCTTTGGGGCAGCTCTGCAGGGGCCGCTCATGTCAGACCCCCCTGTGTGCTGGGGACAGCTTTGCTCTTGGGGACACTGCTCTGCCCCAGCCCAGCAACACCAGCAGTGCCCAGGGCCGCCACCTTCCCAAGGGGGACCCCTCTGGGCACAGGTACCCCCAGCCCGGGGGGGCCGTGCCAGCACCCCCAGACAACGCAGTTACACAAGGACAATAAAACAACAACACAGTAAAAAGCTATACAGAATGGATTTACAGTATCAAATATTTATATAATCAAGAATCTTCTCAGTAAAACCAAAAATCTTCTCTAAAAAACCAACAGTCTTCTTTAAAAAGCAACTATTTTCTTTATAGAAACAACAATCTTCTTAATAAAAAAAAGTCTTCGATCTTCTTAAAAAACAACTATCTTCTTATTAAAAACAGCTATCTTCTTATTAAAACAACTATCTTTTTAATAAAAAACTGTCTTCTTAAAAAAACTATCATCTTAATTAAACTATCTTCTTATAAAAAACTATCTTCGTAATTAAACAATCTTCTTATTTAAACAATCTTCTTCTTTAAACTATCTTCTTATAAAAAATTATCTTCTTAATTAAACTATCTTCTTATAAAAACAATCTATTTATTAATAAAAAAACTATCTTCTTTACAGAAACAGATATTTTCTTAAAATATCAAAAATGTAGAACATATGTACAAAAAAACAGGAAGCACCTTGGACAACATATGTACAGAGTGGCCAATTCCATGGCCGGCAGGTCCGTCAGTCCTGCAAGAAAAGCCAGGGCACGGTCAGTGCAGTCGGGCCCTGCTGGCCGTTCCCTGTGCCCCCAGCCTGGCCCACGCTGGGCCCAGCGGGACTCTGGCGCCAGGCCTGAGCCCGGCTGGGGATGGGAGCCGGGCCCCAGGCGCTGGCACGGGGCTTGTGTGGCCCAAAGCAGGCGCAGGGCAGGCCGGGGCTGGGGGTTGTGCCGCCACAATCCAGGGCACGGGGCACCGTGTCCCTGCGCGGGGCCACCCAGCCCAGCCCCAGCCTGGCGGCAGGTGACCCGCTGTCCCCGGGGCAGGGCACGGCCAGGACGGGCCTCACCTGCTGCTGATAGGGTGCTGTGTCCTTATCCCAAGATCATGTCTTCCACCTCATCTTCCTGATCTACTTCCATCTCTTCCACATCAACTTCCATCTCCACCTCCATCTCTTCAACTCTCTCTTCAACATCCACATCCATCATCTCATCCATATCTGCCTGAGGGTCCACCTCCATCTCTTCTTCGCTGTCTCTCTGAGCCTGCAGCAGGGAGAACAACCTCAGAGAGGGGTCTCTGTCCCACACCAGCCCCACTGAGCTCCAGCCCTCCTGGGCAGTCAGGGGGTTCCCACCTCCATGGAATGGCACTGTACCTTCACGGGGAGGAGGTTGCCCATCCTGCTGGGATGGATCACAAGACCCGACTGCAGGCAGAGTCAGGACTGACGGACAGAGCAGGGATCACCTGAAAACACTCCAATGGGAGCAGGGTGAAGGGTGGTCTTGGACCAGGTGACAAGGGTTCGCTGCGAGCTGCTGACGGTTCACTGTCAGCAGGGGAATGGCTGCGTTGTGCTCGTCGCCGGGCCCTGGCAGTTCCACATGGAACACGGGCACAGCTCTGGCAGCTGCGATGTCACAGGAGGTCCAGGGCCACTCCACAGTGGGGATGGAGATCATGGAATGATGGAATTCTTGAATGGTTTGGTTTGGGACAGACCCTACAAATCATCTTGTTCCAACATGTCCAGCCTTCCACCACACCAGGTTGCTCAGGGCCCCATCCAACATACCCTTGAATGTTGCCAGGGATGGGGCATCCACAGCCTCTCTGCACAGCCCCTGCCAGGGCCTCACCACCCTCACAGGAAACAATATTTTCCTAACATCAAATCTGACCCTCCCCTCTCTCAGTTTGAACCCCTTGTCCTGTCACTACAGTTGCTGACCAAGAGTCACCCTCCGGCTTCCTTGGAGGCCCCTTCCCAGACGGGAAGGTTTCTCCCAGGTCTCCACACAACCTTCTCTTGTCCAGGCTGAAGAGCCCCAACTTTGCCAGCCTGTGTGCAGAGGGGAGGTGCTCGAGGTCCCTGAGCCCCTTGTTGGCCTGGTGTGGCCTTGCTGCAGCAGTTCCCTGGCCTTGTTGTGTCGGGGACCCCAGAGCTGGAGGCCGCACTGCAGGTGGGGTCTCCTGAGAGCGCAGCAGAGCGGCACAACCCCCCCTGCCCTGCTGCCCCCAGGGCTGGGGATGAGCCCAGGACATGGGGGGGGGGGTCTGGCCTGAGAGGGCACATTCTAAGGACTCGTGGAACAACAATAATCTTTGACATGTATTTACAGAAGGACAATAAACCAACAACATATAAGACAAGTCTACAGAATTTATTGACTTTGTCCAAATTTTCTTAATAAATCCAGTATTCTTCTTTACAGAAGCAAGAGTCTTCTTGATGACAACAGTCTTAATATCAACAGCCATCTTCTTAATAAAAACAATTATCTTCTTGAAAAAACAACTATCTTCTTAATAAAAATATCTTCTTAATAAAAACAACTATCTTCTAAATAAAAATATCTACTTAATAAAAAACTATGTTCTTAAATAAAAATCTATCTTCTCTAATGGAAAACTTATCTTCTTAAAAATCTATTGTCTTATGAAAAAACTATGTTTGTATTAAAAATCTATCTTCTTAAACTATTTTCTCTATCTAAACTACAATCTTCTTAAAAAGTGAATAATATAAAACATATTTACAGAAAAAAATGAAAAACATATGTACAGGTGGCTGATGCCATGGCCGGCAGGTCCGTCAGTCCTGGAAGAAAAGCAAGGGCACGGTCAGTGCAGTCGGGCCCTGCTGGGTGTTCCCTGTGCCCCCAGCCTGGCCCACCCAGCAGGTGACCCCGGGGCAGGGCATGGCCAGTACGTGCCTGTCGTGCTGCTGGGGGACTGTCCTCATCCCAGCACCATGTCCTCCTCCTCATCTTGCTGGTCCACATCCATCTCCTTGATCTCCTCCACCTCATCGACTTCCATCTCTTCTTCCATCTCTTGGATGTCCACCTCCATCATCTCCTCAGTATCCACCACAACATCCACATCCATCTCTTCCTCGGTATCTCCGGCAGTCTGTGTAAGGGAGCACAACCTCAGAGAGGGGTCCCTGTCCCACACCAGCCCCACCGAGCTCCAGCCCTCCTGGGAAGTCAGGGGTTTCCCACCTGCATGGATTGGCTCCGTACCTTGACTGGGAGGAGGTTGCCCATCCTGCTGGGATGGCTGCTGAACTCCAGACAGTAGGTTGAGTCCAGGACTCACGGGTCTCTCAGGGATCACCTGACGAGGGTGCAATGGGAGCTGCTGACGGTTCACTGTCAGCAGGGGAATGGCTGCGTTGTGCTCGTCGCCGGGCCCTGGCAGTTCCCCATGGAACACGGGCACAGCTCTGGCAGCTGTGATGTCACAGGAGGTGTGGGGCCGCTCAGCAGTGGGGATGGGGATCATGGAATGATGGAATCCTTGAATGGTTTGGCTTGGGAGGGACCTTAAAATCATCTTATTCCAACCTGTCCAGGTTGCTCAGGGCCCCTTCCAAGTGGTCCTTGAATGTTGCCAGGGATGGGGCATCCACAGCCTCTCTGCACAGCCCCTGCCAGGGCCTCACCACCCTCACAGGAAACAATACTTTCCTAACATAAAAATCTAACCCTCTGTCAGTTTGAGCCCATTCTCCCTTGTCCTGTCACTACAGTTGCTGACCAAGAGTCACCCTCCGGCTTCCTTGGAGGCCCCTTCCCAGACGGGAAGGTTTCTCCCAGGTCTCCACACAACCTTCTCTTGTCCAGGCTGAAGAGCCCCAACTTTGCCAGCCTGTGTGCAGAGGGGAGGTGCTCGAGGTCCCTGAGCCCCTTGTTGGCCTGGTGTGGCCTTGCTGCAGCAGTTCCTTGGCCTTGTTGTGTCGGGGACCCCAGAGCTGGAGGCCGCACTGCAGGTGGGGTCTCCTGAGAGCGCAGCAGAGCGGCACAACCCCCCCTGCCCTGCTGCCCCCAGGGCTGGGGATGAGCCCAGGACACGGGGGGGTCTGGGCTGAGAGGGCACATTCTAAGGGCCCATGGAACAACAAGAATCTTTGACATGTATTTACGGAAGGGCAATAAACCAACAACATATCAGAGACGTGTACAGAATTTATTGACTTTTTCCAAATTTCTTAATAAATCCAGTGTTCTTCTTTACAGAAGCAAGAGTCTTCTTGATGACAACAGTCTTAATATCAAAAACCATCTTCTTCTTTTAAAAACAATTATCTTCTTGAAAAAACAACTCTCTTCTTAATAAAAATATCTTCTTAATAAAAACAACTATCTTCTAAATAAAAATATCTACTTAATAAAAAACTATCTTCTTAAAAAGGAACCTTATCTTCTTAAAAAAACTATCATCTTAATAAAAAACTATCTTCTTAAATAAAAATCTATCTTCTTTAAAAGGAAACTTATCTTCTTAAAAAAGCTATTGTCTTATGAAAAAACTATCTTCTTATTAAAAAATCTATCTTCTTAAACTATTTTCTCTATCCAAACTACAGTCTTCTTAAAAAGTGAATAATATACAACATATTTACAGGAAAAAATGAAAAACATATGTACAGCATGGCCGATGCCATGGCCAGCAGGTCCGTCAGTCCTGGAAGAAAAGCAAGGGCACGGTCAGTGCAGTCGGGCCCTGCTGGGTGTTCCCTGTGCCCCCAGCCTGGCACACCCAGCAGGTGACCCCGGGGCAGGGCATGGCCAGTACGTGCCTGTCGTGCTGCTGGGGGACTGTCCTCATCCCAGCACCATGTTCTCCTCCTCATCTTACTGGTCGACCTCCATCTCCTCGATCTCATCCACCTCATCAACTTCCATCTGTTCTTCCATCTCTTGGACGTCCA